TTTGACAACCTCCAAGGACAGACGGTTGGGACGTTTGGCAGAACACTTTAGAGCACAGTTCAACTAGTGCACAGCTACGTCTTAGTTGCCCGATATCCAACTTGAAACTGAATGGGATGTAGATGTCAGTCGTCCAACTCTCCTTGAAGCTGAGAAGGCTGTATCGAACCTGAAACGATTCAAATCAGCAGGATTTGAGAGTCTGCCAACCAAAGTTTTCAAGAATGGAGGTAGGAGATTGCTGAGTAGAGTGACGCAGGTACTAGGTAGCGTGTGGGAATCGGAGGTATTTCCGTCGAACTGGTCTACTTGTCTGATTTATCCAGTCTGTAGGTAGGGAAAGAAGTCTTGTGACAGCCCTTGGGAAATTAGTTTGATCAATATTATGTCCAAGATCCTAGTATCCATAGTTATCCGACGCCCGATTGGAGCTTAAGGGTAGAAAACACAAGAAGAGGGTGAATTGATCAGATTTTCATCCTAAGACAGGTCCTGGAACACAGGGATTCTAGCCAGTGGGCGACACGATATATTTCTAGGCCTGAAGATGGCATTCGACTCTGTAGATCCAGAGATTTTGTGGTAGTGTCTGACTGTGAATGGAGTACTGAACAAGCATGTAACGCTAATCAGAGCTCACTAATCAAACTCATGCGTCCGTGTAAGAGCTTATGGAGAGTTATCATTCGAATTGACGACAATTAGTGATATTCGCCAGGGATCCCCAGTATTACGGAACCTATTTAACTTCGTTATAAACGTACTAGTGGGCATAAGCTTAAGTACGTATGACTTCATAGGGATTGATTTACTCCCTAGAAGTCATCTCGTTAATTTGAAGTATGTAGACGATATTTTCCTGCTGGGTTAAGATGCTGGCAAAATGCAGTCTTCTCGACGCGTTGAGCAGTAAGCTGAGTATGTTTGGCATGCATCTCACACCTGTCAAATGGAAGATGATGATCGAGAATTGGTTTACAACTACTTCAGGTTTAGTGACAGGGAGTGAAGTGATGGATGGGGAGTTGCATCAACCCTAATGGGAAAGTTGCTGATAGGATATCAACTCGGACACAGGACGCCTGTTTAGCGTTTACCAACTTGCATCACCTGTTCGCCGGCGAGATGTCTGACTATCTATCTAGCAAAGGACGAGCATACTTTGCTGCATTCCGTTCTGTCTTGATATAAGAACGTGAGACATGGCCGTTGAAATGAGAAGATATACAGCACTTACTGGGTTTTGATCACAGATGTCTCTGAAGCATTTCTCGCGTTTATGGAATCACCATGTGAACAGTGTTAATGTCAGGCTAAGGATAGCAGGCAAGATAGGCAAGTCATATATGATGTTGCGAACCTCAGTCGACTGAGATAGCTTCGACATGTACTTCGCATGTCAAGCGATCCACCATCTACTTCAACGTGCCATGCTAGGAGAAGCTGAGTTAAGTTGTAAGAAGGTTCAGGGTGACCAGACACTGACCTGGCACCAGTCGACCAAGTCTCTAACTGTTCATCTGAGCTATGTGGGGAGATGTAGACTGACTGGTTGTGGTCCTCAAGACGAAAGAAATCAGTGGTTGAGGATTCTTAGTGATATGGCTGGAAATCGATCATAATGGCGCAGATGTCCTCACTCTTTGATATCTTCTGTAGCTTAAATATTTGCACTATCATTTGTTTTGAAATTTTTTATTCCCTCACACACCGTTTTCTACTCTGATATCACTCTTTTTCTACTCACCTCTTTTTTATGTACTATTGTGGAGGGTGGCAACTCGAACCGATGCACTTGTGTGCGACTTCTAACAACCTGACTCAGTAACACTGACATACGGTGTATGCTATGAAGGCAATGGTAGTTAGATACTTGAAGCCTTCTCGTATCTTCTTTCTTTGATGGTCACAATTCACAACTACGAACCAAGACAGAGCGGACTGCAGAGTAGTAGACTGGACCGCTGATAGACAATTATATATCACGGCGACGTCATAATTAGCATAGGTTGACAAAAGCTAAGTGTGCCTTTTGTATTCATTAAGAGATTTAGTCAGTAACGGGTCCGCCAGGGATGATCCAACTTATTAAGTAAGCGAATTAGTCAATGTCGTCAACCATCTCACTTCCTGTTGTTAGACAGGGCACCGAGGGGACCAATCCTAGAGCAGCAATTGACAGTTACGTGGCGAGAAACACATCCCAAACATTCTCAAATTTCCATTCAAGATGCCTTAAAACTCTGCGTCCCGTCAGCTTCTTCAACTAACAGGATAACTTCATCTATGTACTCTAGATCTAATAAGGTTTCTCCTATGATATGATCAATCTGTGTAAACTCAGACGACAAGAAGTGGACCTTCATAAATACGACTACGATAAGGTTAATAAGAATGATGACGGTGAACTTCTTAGAGGATCTAACTCTTCGTATATAACTCACCTGATAACTCACCATATTCTCTAACACGCACACGGCTGTTAGAGTATAGATCATTCAATAGTGAGACACCGTCATAATACCTCTTAGTCAACGAAGCTGAATATCCTCTTCAGATCGACAAATGCAGCTAGCGATGGACGCCAATCACTGTTTCTGTTTTCCATAACTTGGTGGAGGAGACTACACCTGATTCACATAAGTTGGCAAGTTTTTTGGTTAAACTGACTAACAGTCCGCTATAGCCCTTAAATACCTCTGGCACCGGCTCGTCTCACTCTGATGCTCTCCCTCTTTCAGGTTAAACAAAATATTTTGATATCCTATAAGAGCTGAGAGTCTGACTAAGGATTCGACTGGATAGCGGGTAACCGAAGAGTTACTAGAGGCTAGTTGGACTGTTCATTGTTTTAGTCTTCTACTCTGACAATAAATGTCAGACCCATCCTTCTTTTCTATGGTGTCACTCCCCACTAACCTTTTCCACACTAGTTTCCTCAATAAATTTAAATAGATGTCTACTTACCAATAGCCAAAGTCTTTTCCATCGCTCGATCTCTCGCTTCCCACTGCTGTTCACAGTCATTGCTCAGACTTTTCACAAGTCTACATTTAATTTGCTTCCGTGCCTCACTGTGCTCAAAGCCTTGGTTAGCGTGCACCCATTAATTCATAAGAAGCTGCTGATGTCCATAAGCGCTTTCCAACCTCTTTCTGGAAGTCAGTTACAGTATTTAACGCATTTACACAGTATACAAGATGGTGCCAAGCTTCTACTCGAAGAGTGACGTTGTCCTGTTTCAATAACTGTCTAGCCAGTTTCTCACAAAAAGCACCTCTTATTATTATCATCATCAAGTTTAGTGGTAATGATCTTGTTCCTGTAGTTTCCTTACGCCCATAAAGATGCAGCTAAACACATGTTTGAACTAATACATGATCCCTGTTCAAACACAGAAGGGTGATCTTCCACCGACCTTCTCCAACTTTAACTGATAGCAATATGGTTTATCTGTATCCCCTGGTGAGTTGAGGTCGGAGGATGCCACGTCAAACAATGTCTGAGTATTGTGGGAAGAAAATCATGTAACAAATGGTCTTAGCTGTCAACTACGCAATACCGAACAGTTATCACAGCCCAAAGTCATGTCAACAATCCTGTTATTCTTTTGTTGTTAGCGAGTATCAGTGTTAATGCATATTTTTAAAAATATTGTACAACGAGTTAACCAATGCAATATTACATTCTGAGAATTCAGTATTGTAAACAATATCATCTTTCGGAATAAAGCAATATATTATATCATTATTATTATTAGTGTCTGAAATCCACCCTGGCTAGAAATAAATGGTTGTTTGAGCGCAGCTGTAGCAGGCGATCGCCGCTATATAATCTTTTGGTTTGCATTCCGTAAGTGCCACCTAAGTGTCTTTCTACCCACTTATACATTGATTTCGCCTGCAACAAAATTCTCCTCTGAACACCTGTCTCTCAGAACGATGCTAGACAGTTTGATAGAATTTATCCCACACTTCATCCGAAGTGTGGTCAGTGGCTGCGTAAGGAGAGATTATGAAGAGACTGCGGCAAGTTTCACTACTCTTTTTAGTCCTCACTAGATGGTTCAGTAGGACAGTGCATAGAGGGCCGTCACGTGGGATCTAATCGAACAGCAGCCTTTCTGCTTGATTAGTTAGTGTAATATATCCATTCCTACAAAAGCGTGAAAACTAGGCGGTGAATCTCAGAAAATTAAAGAGTGTATTTTACAGATTTATCAGATTGACCGGATGAGGTTAGATGCTGTTTTTGGGTTGACTTTTTCTAACCCCTTTTGTCATAACACAGGAAACACCTAAATGCTGTCGCATTCTATTCATCCAGCAGTACAGCTTCAGCTTTAAACACCCCCACTTCCATCATAAGGTGACAGTTTCCTGTATGACGGTAAGTGCTTTACGCCTTACCACTATCCAACTGACTTTTCTGGTATGGCAGGACCTCAAGGAAACAAACGTTCCACTAGCATAGATCATAAAGTCATTGTGATATGCAAGCACCACCAATACGTCAAGGTAGTAGGTATCAGTTGAAATTTCATGAATATAAAATAATAATTTTGATAGGCAACGGAAACAAGAATTCATGAAGGCAAGGATTGTTTTTCCAAACAACTCAATAATGCTTATTAATATATTAAGTCATACTAATGCTTAACTGCGAAAAATTGGTCTTCATCATACTATGCCAGCTTATCGGAACTATTAAAAGCAAATAAGTGTAGCGTAAATTAAACCACTGTTTGCACATATGCATTCCAAAAATATTAACAGTAAGTTGATTGACCTCTCAATACACAAAATTTCTATGGATATAATAAAAAAAAACTGCTAATAGGTTATTAGAAATATTGAGTTTCAGCATCAGTTTATTGAATAAATTCTCATTCAGTTCAGTATAAGTGGTAGAAAACCCGCATTCAAAACACATCCAATGACAACAGATATGCATTGTATTAATGATAATATTTATCAGTAAATAAGACTAGTCTGACTCACATTAAATTGATTCTCTTTTTGTAACCAATTTAATCTAACTTTATCAAGCTCTAGTTGATTATTGTATAACTGGCTACTCAAACTTCGGATTTGATATTGCTCGGATGACAATGCCTGCTGCAAGTTTTCAATCTGTTGTTTTTGCTGTAAAAAACAAAAACAAAACAAATATCAATCAATAGAAGATTGATTATGAAATTGTAGGCTTATTTGTTTTTAGCATAAGTAAACAGTTGTTTTAGTGTTTAAACGAAAGTTAAATAGTACAAACCATAGTCACTGGTTAGTTTATACTAATCATTGGGAAATGAGATGATGAATACTACTTCTAAATTAAAAATCCCCATTCATCTCAAAAATACATTACTCTATAGTGCTCATTAGTGACTTGCTTCCAGATGGATTTCAGGAAGTTCTAATGAGAAGCCGTGACCTGTGCGGTCAACCAATCGGAAGTGAAGTGGACGCTAACTGAAAACCTTGGGTGACAGTCGCGCTATGTCGTGAATTGACAGAACTTGGAAATTGTGAACCACTGGAAACCGACCCAGTGGCTGAATGGTAAACGCGTTCGCCGTGAAACCTGAAGGTCCTGAGTTAGACCCCTAGCCGGGTCGTGGGTGCGTACTGCTGAGGAGTCCCATACTAGGGCGAAACAACCGTCCAGTGCTCCCAGATTTCCAATGGTTCCCCAACTGATGTCAGTCCATGATGAATACTACTTCTAAATACTAATAGATTCAACACGAATAATGATAATAAAACCGAACATACGCTTAAATGAATATTTGAGATGTAAAGAGAAAGAATATAATATACTACGCCAGGATTACACAAATAAAAATACATCTTATACGATGAACTATACTAACTCGGTGTCCAGGATTTTTCAAACCATCTAGTTCATTGTTGGTCAGGATACGTTCAAGGAAAGAAAGATGTTTATCGGACACCATCGTGTTGGTGTGTAGTCAAACTCAGTTAACAAGGTGTCGTAAACTTAGTTTCATTGATTGTTGGGATTCATGAGCAATTGGTTCAGAGTAAAACTCGTTTTTCATCACACCTCTTAAAAGTTCCTCATCCCCGATGGTAACTTTTTTCTTAGCTGAAGTTGTGAACTATAAGAACTCAAATTGAAAGGAAAGTACAAACTATCAACAGACTTTTGGATAGTACCTGTGATAAGGACCAATGAAATGAAACAAAAACCCAAGAGTTCTTATAATCTGCCTTGAAATTACGACAGCTGCTTAGCTGGTGTCATAAGCATGCATATAATTATTGTCTTCAAACAAAAATCTCAGCGTAGATCTTAGGACTGTGAATATAATGACAAATACATTTCCAACGTACTTTGTATGGAGCTAGCATATACACCGAACTTTGAAGTAAATTAATGTGAGTTATCTTTGAAGCAGATAAAGCGAACTTGTTACCTGCCGTTTACACTTACAGTTCAAATTAACTGAAGTTAATAGTCTAACTTGAACTCGGAGTAACTACAATTCCTATTGCAACACTGAGTAAAAGTGAGCAGTTAAACAATCGATTATGCATAGTGTACAACACAATTTCAGTGCATGACTGAGAACAAAACCTTTTTTTGTGTATTCCCCATTGATATCAAATAGACACGACTCACTGATTATGATTTTGAGATAAAACAAACTAACAAAGGTGAGAACACAGCAGTTATCTGACTGTAATCATCTGTAAAATAAAATTTCAACTGCTAAATCCCTGAAATACTTACTGTTTTTAATTGATTAAAGAAAACCTCATATGCTCTGAAAAACGTGATACGCGTATGATTATTGATATTAATTTCAACTACCCACCTGAGTGATAAGTTGTTTTTTTCGTCAAGAAGAGATGAAATGTCATCTCTGCTTGAACTTAAACTCAAGATATTACAATCGATTCCAATTGAATTAGTAGTCGGTTCGTCAGTTGTAAACTGGACTGACTTAGAAAGTTTCAAAAGCGGATTGCTTGGTTCTTTTACAGTTTGAACTGCACAGTCCAAGAACCTACTTGCCGGTTCTGAAAAAGACAGATAGAAAAAAAATAAATGACATATATATGTATATAAAACATTGTAAAAGAACCTATTTTCATGAATGGAAGTTTTTCAAGTTCACGACATTCAAAGTCATCATAATGCAGTCAGACAGAGGCAAGAAAGTAATTTGAAAATCCCCATTTAGTCATAAAATAAAAGGAGTTCAGTGAAGAGTTACTGTTTTCAGTGACTCACTCTCAATCTGTGCAGTCATATTTACATGACATTTACTGCAGCTAAGAAAGCATGATTTTTATGTATTTTCCACCGGGAAATGGAGAACAATCGAAGTTTAAGCAGTAAAAATCGAATATAAAATATGCAGTGACTTCAAAGACCACCCTGGCAACTGCTGAAATAACCAATTGCGGTTCTTTACTTCATGGGAAACTAACATTCCAGACGAAATAGAGAAAACTGATTGGTTATTTAGCAGTTGCAAAGGTGGCTTTTAAAGTCAATGTAAACCATGTGAAAGGTACCAGATGACTATCAGGATTAGGGTAATAAACTAGTCGACTAATCTGTATGATTAATTTTCTTACCTTCTGATAACACTAATACGAAAAAACAAACTCTGGAAATGTTATTTCTCTTTGTATATCTCGTATACAAGCAAACGATTTATTTCAGCAAATACGAAGTTTAGTATTCATTTGTTCTACTTCCCGATTGCCACTCAGTGTAGGTTCACAAGGAATTATCACTGCTGCGCAGTAAATAAATACAGATTTCTGTTACTTTTTGCATAATAATTAAAAACACAATCGATATCTTTGTGACTATATTGCATTTTCTCAAGTCATTCACCAATTAGATAGATAAGCCGACAGGACTTCAACAGAAATATTTGTAATCTCTTCAAGATGCAGAGTCTAAATGTCTTGTGAGTCTACTATTAGTGCAAGATATGATCGGGCCTCGCGTCAAAAGTGTTTCAGCTTCTTCGGCTGAGTATTAGTAACCTAAGCTACAAGTTAATATTTAGTATGGAAGCCATGAAACATAGGTTTACTTGATATATTATAGTAGACTGAAATATGGTTCATTTTTATGACCTCACTATGTGTATTTACCTCATGAAAAATGATTGTCCAATGTTCTTCCTTATATCAAAACAGAGTCTAGGAATTCACCGATAACATTATTATTATTATGGCCTTGAAATAAATGTCCTTAGGTGGGTTTTATGCATGTGAACTGAAAAAGTCCTGAACTCAGACCCTAAACTTATCTCAGGTTTGGTATAAATTACGTTACACAGTAATAGTATGTATATTATTCTGCTGAAAATAATAACGTAAGGAACAACTTATGACAACCAGTATTTGTTAGGTTGCTGCTACTGTAATTAAGAAGCTGATCAGGGTGTGTGATTTCCTGTACACTTGTCTCCAGTTTTCTGGCGTTTTTTCTATTGAATAGGACATCCAGGGACCGCAGTTTGTTGTTTGACTTTGTATTGCGTGTGTGATGTAGTTCATAACGTTTTACATCAGGTTGTGAGTCATATATATATATATATAGGACCAAACTGATCAGTCTCGGTTGGCATACGGGCTCCTGTGCGGATGCCTCGATATTGCTGTGTTTTAATTATGTATAGTAGTGATGGGCAGTGGCTAGCAGTGGGATCCAGGATGCGCATTTCGTCCCATTTAGGACTCGTCAGCTGGATAACACTCTCGCGTTTGAAGCGATCGCTCCCGAGTCTGAGTTCCGGTGGGAACAACATCACTCACTGGGAGGCAGGTACTTTACATGAACATAAGTGCCATGCAAACAATCTGTACATAGCTTTTCAACCAATCGGGTGGCAGGAATTGTTTCATATACTTTGGCGTGTTAGTGAAATGGAATTGTTTCTAGTAAACAAAAACCTAGTTTTTATCTTCTAAACGTATAAGTATCAAATATGGAAAATTGCAATTAGAACCTGTAGTTATAATAAACTGGATATTTTAGGAAAGTCTACATTACAAACAGACACATAACTTTGTTTTATTAACAATGACTTATCGTAACCGTTTTTTGAAACAATTAAAGTATTCAGTAGGATTATGTTTATTCAGCTATAAACCTTGCTTAGTACATGAAGCAAAACTCTTATGAACCAGTTCCCATCACATAAAAACTATGGTTTATTCAGAGTTTCAACGTTTTCTTCACACAAAATTTCGTAAATTAAAATGTGTTTATGGTGATACTATTTGATCTTAAACCGTCAACTTTTCGAAACATTTGATAATATTCTTAATTTTAGTAATAATGGATGGTGGGTAGCAGTGGGAAACAAGCGTACTTTTGTCCTATTTGAGACTTATCAGCCGGATGTACCTGTACCCCAGTCAGTGGAATTTTCCCTTAAGACTCGATCCCGAGAATCGATCGCTAAAAATGCCAAGAAGTTATCCACTTGATGAGTCACGATAGCCACTTTTTATGCAACAACATAAATATTCTTAATTCATGGTAATCTCTTCATATTTCCCCATATAATTTTGCCGAGTGAATGTAGGGAGTTTTTCATGTCTTCTGTCACATATACCCGATGTGAGCAAATGGCTGAATCAGTGATTACAAGTGATTTGTACGTTTGTGATCAGCTTCCTCTAAAGGCTATGGAAGTAAATATAAAACTTTATAAAATATCCAGTTGATGTCTGAAGATTGATCTCTGCCTCGTCTGTCTGCTTAAAATTCACAACAATCAGAAGTAGTGGAGCAATTCTCGGAAAATGATCTATATAATTTCTAGGTCAAACATTTCCCAGGACAACCAATTTTTAAGAGAGCTCAAATTCATTGGCAGACTCTACACAGATACACGCAATGAAGATATACTTGATTTCATGATAACTGACGTTTGTTGCTGTAAAGTATGTCATCTAGAACTACCTGTTAAACATGATCAATTTTCATTGTAAGCACAAAAATGTACTGGAAATCAGGTTCAGTTGGTTGACTATTCCTAAAGTGGACAAAATTTTCAATGTATATTCTATAATTAGACAGATTTGAAGGTGATCGAAATACAACCAGATATGGTTACCGCATGTATGTCTACAAGGGAATGATAAGTATATTTTCCCAAATCGGCAACAAAAATCTCAAGCGTTAATAATTGCCGTATGAACTGTTAAAAATATATTTAGGACTCAATATGACAGAAAATTGACCTGCTTAACACGGTCCACAATCGGATGACTAAATGAATGACTGTAAAAATCAACGTAGAACCTTGCATACAAGTGCATCGGTTCGAGTTGCCACCCTCCACAATTTATTATTATTATTATTAGTCCCTTGGGTTCCTAGTGGAACATAGGGCTTCAGTAGCACGCCTCCAGTGACCTCTGTTCTCTGAGATCTTTTGAACCTGGTTCCACGACAGCCCAGAGCCTCTCATTTCCTCCTCGCATGACCTCCTCCATGTCACCCTCGGACGTCCAACTCGTCGCTTCCCATGGGGATTCCACTCGAGGGCCTGACGCGTGATGTCCTCAGTCGGCCTTCTCAGTGCATGCCCAATCCATCTCCACTTCTTCCTGCATATTTGTTGCGTGATAGGTTCTTGGTTGGTTCGTTCCCAGAGTTCCTTGTTGCTTATTTTTTCTGGCCATCTGATCTTCAGCAGCGAGCGTAAGCAGTTGTTGATGAATGTCTGTAGTTTATTGGAAATGCCTTTCGTGACGCGCCAAGTCTCTGAGCCATACAAGAGCACTGACTTGACGTTGGTGTTGAAAATCCGTATCTTGTTCCGCATGCTGAGTGCAGAAGATCTCCACACTGGTTTCAGGCTAATGAACGCCTGTCTTGCTTTTCCGATTCTGACTTTGACGTCCTCGTCCGTCCCGCCTGTAGTTGAAACAGTGCTTCCTAGATAAGTGAAGGAGGTTACTTCCTTCAAGTTTCTCCCGTTGACGGTGATTGGAGTTTGTTGTTGTTGTTGATGGTGGTGGTGCGGTATCTTCATCACTTCTGTCTTCTCTATATTCACCTGAAGTCCCGTCTTAGCTGCCTCTTCTGTCAACTTGTTAGTTTTTGCCTGCAGATCTTCAAGTTTATGTGACATTAGGCATAAGTCATCGGCGAAATCCAAGTCTTCTAGGTTCTTTTCCGTCGTCCAGTGTATCCCCCTCTTCTCGCTGCCTACTGTTTGCTGCATGATCCAGTCCACCACAATAAGGAATATCATGGGGGATAGTAGGCAACCTTGTTTCACTCCTGTCTTCACTTCAAAGGCATCACTGAGCTTCCCATTGTGGATTACTTGGCATGTGGCATCTTCATATAGTTGTTGAATGAGGCGGATAAAGGTTTGCGGTACTCCGTAGTATTGAAGCAGTTTCCAAATTACTTCTCGGTCGACGCTGTCAAAGGCCTTCTCAAAGTCGATGAAGTTGAGGTATAGAGCTGATTGCCATTCTACGCTCTGTTCTATGATGATACGAAGCGTTGCAATTTGGTCAGCACATGATTTGTACTTCCTGAAGCCTGCCTGTTCCGGTCGCAGTTTTGAATCCAGTGCGTCTTTAAGCCTCTCCAGGATGATGCGGCTTAATATTTTACTTGGGGTGGATAGGAGAGTGATTCCGCGCCAGTTCTTGCAAGCACTGAGGTCTCCCTTCTTCGGCAGTTTGACAAGGTAACCCTTCTTCCAATCGTCAGGTACCTTCTCTTCCCTCCACACCTTCTGCAATAGTGGTGTGAGCATGTCCGCTGTTGTCTCTGCATCTGTTCTCAGTGCTTCTGGCGGTATTCCATCTGGTCCTGCTGCTTTCCCGCATTTCAGTAGCTTTATGGCGTTCAGGACTTCCATTTTCGTTGGGGGATTTATGTTCACTTGTAATTCAGCGGCTGCAGGTGGTATTTCTGGACGAAGTGCAGGTGGTGGTCGATTCAAGAGCTTCTTGAAGTGGTCGGCCCATCGTTTCCTCTGTTTCTCTTCTTTTGTAATTAAATTTCCTTCTTCATCTTTTATTGGTTTCATCTGTGTTGGTCTCTTCCCTGATAGCAACCTGGTTATTTGATACAATGTCGTCAGGTCTCTCTTACCTGCAGCCTGTTCTGCTTCACTTGCCAGTGTTTCGTAGAAGTGTCTTTTGTCTTTGCGTGCACTCTTCTTCACTTCTTTGTCCAGTGTTTTATACATTGTGCTCAGTTCCTCTTGTCGTTGAGCATCCTTGCACTGGTTTATCTTCTGCTTCACCATCCTCCTCTCCTCTATCAGCTTCCAGGTATCCGTCGAGATCCATTCCTTGTCTTCTTTCTTCTTCCTTCCTAATACTGTTGTGCAGGTTTCTTTCCACATAGCTTTCAAAGACTTCCAGTGTTCTTCTACACAGGTTTCTTCAGGGATGTCCCTCGACGTCTCCCATTTTGTCTTGATGGCTGCTTTGAAGATCTCCTTTGTAGTTTCATCCTTCAGTTTCCGAGTGTTGTACTTGAATTGAGGTCTATCACCAGCTTCCTTGAAGGCTTTTAACTTGATTTGGAAGGTTCCTTGCACTAGATAGTGGTCTGAACCTACATCTGCTCCTCTTCTTGACCTTGTGTTAAGTAGACTGCGTCTCCATTTTCTTGAGATTGAGATAAAGTCGATTTGATTTTTAGTGTGTCCATCTGGTGAAATCCATGTCGCTTTGTGGATATCCTTGTGCCTGAACACACTGCCTCCAATCACCAAATCGTTGAATGCACAGAATTCTGCAAACAATTCTCCATTCTCATTCATTTCACCTAGCGCCTCTCGACCCATGGTTAGTTCTCTTCCCGTGTTGTCCCCTCCCAGTTTGGCATTCATGTCGCCCATTAGAATTTTGATATCGCCAACTGACGTCTTGTCCAGTGTTGACTGAAGTTGTCTGTAGAATTCCTCCTTTTTCTCTTGCTCTGCATTATTTGTAGGTGCATAACATTGTATGATTGTGACCTTTCTTCCTTTTGAGTTGAATCTTGCTGTCATGATCCTGGAGGAGATTGGTTCCCACTGCATGAGAGCCTTCGATGCTCTTGAGGACATCATGATAGCCACTCCCTCAGTGTGCTCGTGGTTGGCGTCTGGGTGACCGGAGTAGATTATTGATTCTCCAGTTGACAGTTTGGAGAGTCCACTCCCATTCCATCTGCTTTCGCAAATCCCAAGCACTTCGATGTTATACCTTCTCATCTCCTTTGCAATCTGGGCTGCCTTACTGGGTTCAAACATCGTGCGGACATTCCATGTCCCCACGTTTACTTTCGCTTTCATCGAGAGAAGACACATCGGCCAATTGGCTTCCCGAAGGCTTTCACCAACTGGCGTCATTTCGCCTCTCCGATTCCAGCGGGGAATAAGTTTGTTTTCATTTTTTATATTTTGTTTGTGCTTTGAAGTTTCTTTAGCGGTTAGATTTGTTTTACGGGGTAGGGTTGCTAGCCCTATGCCCAACCTTCCCTCTTTACCCGGGCTTAGGACCGGCTAGTAACTAGTAAACTAGTTAACCAGGCGAGGTTCCACCCTCCACAATAGTACATAAAAAAGAGGTGAGTAGAAAAAGAGTGATATCAGAGTAGAAAACGGTGTGTGAGGGAATAAAAAATTTCAAAACAAATGATAGTGCAAATATTTAAGCTACAGAAGATATCAAAGAGTGAGGACATCTGCGCCATTATGATCGATTTCCAGCCATATCACTAAGAATCCTCAACCACTGATTTCTTTCGTCTCGAGGACCACAACCAGTCAGTCTACATCTCCCCACATAGCTCAGACGAACAGTTAGAGACTTGGTCGACTGGTGCCAGGTCAGTGTCTGGTCACCCTGAACCTTCTTACAACTTAACCCAGCTTCTCCTAGCATGGTACGTTGAAGTAGATGGTGGATCGCTTGACATGCGAAGTACATGTCGAAGCTATCTCAGTCGACTGAGGTTCGCAACATCATATATGACTTGCCTATCTTGCCTGCTATCCTTAGCCTGACATTAACACTGTTCACATGGTGATTCCACTAAACGCGAGAAATGCTTCAGAGACATCTGTGATCAAAACCCAGTAACTGCTGTCTCATGGCCATACAACAAAGTAGAATGCCTTAATGCACGAAAGATCTAGTTTTCATAGAATATTGTACAACAAAAAGTTTCGGTTGTATCTTCTCATGTGAAGTAAACTTATCAGTGTTCTTTAGCTGTAAACCTTTGAATATCAATGCACTTGAATTCGGCACCAAAGAAGCTAAAGAATTCGCTTCGTTAAAGAAAAAAAGACTTTCTTGATCTCAACAACTTTTCAGCTACCACCAATTTGTAACCGAAATGCATTAGATTTTCACAAAGGACCCCACTCTATGAAATCAATCCACTACTTTATAGGTTATAAATTAGATTTTCTTTTGTAAAGAAGTAAACTAGCCTATTAGTAAGTAAATACTGGTAAAGAAATAACTGTATTTTACTAATTCATTCCCGGCAAATAACAACCAGTGAAACGCCTCAAAGACACTTCATATATATATATATATATATATATATATATATATATATACTGCATACTATTATTGCTAACCTAAAAGGCCTAATTCCTATCGAAGCTACATGTGGTTGTCGTGAGAAGCTTTAGGGTTGCTTATGATTCTAAAGAGCCTCTTTATGAGTCACTTTAAATTAAAAATGGCTTGTATGCACAGAAATCTTATTAAATTTGCCAATATGGCGGAAAATAATTTCCTATTTAATGACCGAAAATTTTGTCGACAATGTCTAAGTTAAAACACTTACATTCCAGCATCATCTATATCATTATCACAATTATTGTTCTAAAAAGTTTATTGAACAACTAGTGCTTAAATAATTAAAAATTAAAATAATAAACTTGCCTTGTTGAATTGGCTCATCATTCTGCTCAGAATTTAAATTAATTGGAATGTTATGTTTATGAATTAATGGTTGCTCTGGAACCTCAGTGGATATATGAAGGTGAACAGGCTCATCTTGACCTTCTGAGTTATAACTGCCATCTGTCAAGATGTGAGATAGTAACAAAGATATATTTTCTTGTGCACTTCGTTTCTTTGCGTTCGAAAAGCTTTTTGGCAGAGACCTTTCAGAAAGACACTGACGAGATGTCTTTTTTTGTGATAACTTTGAAAATGCAAAAAGCAGTGAAATCAATTTGTGACACTGATTTTCATTCATAAAAAAGTTATGATTTTGAAACATTAAATATGGAATTCTAGGCTAATCATACAATTAACTTCGTTCTACTATACGACATATCTTGTGAAGGAAAAAATGTATGAAGTCTGTCTGACTTCATAATAAAAAAGATTCACAACTGATATGTACATCTATTGGTTGGCAAGTAGTAATAAACCTAGTTAGTCACACTGTTTCTTTAACTAAATTTTAGATGAATAACAGTATTTTGAAAGAGTGACTTTAAAGGCCACCCTGGTAACTGCTGAGATAACCAATTACGCTTCTCTTTTTATGAAAACAACCTTTCTGGCTAGAATATTGGCTATTTCAGCAGTTGGCAAGGTGTCTTTTAAAACTGCCCAATTTGAAAGTTATGTTGAACTAACGACCAATTTTCAGTTTACAAATGATTTTGCAGACAAAATGAGAAAAAAGAAATGTGAACATTAGTCATCTCGTCCAACTAGTTTTGTTATAAATAAATATCTCCCTTAACCAAACTCATAGTCGCGAATTGTATCGGCAAAACTGAACAATTTAAATTGCAGCATCACACACTTCTCCAAAATCAATAGCCTAGGGTTTGACGACTTCGACATTGATGCTGACCTTGATAGTTTAACTGGACTCGTTAAGCTGAAGGCACCCGGTCAAGCATCCTCGCCATTTGGCACGCTGTCGTGTTACGTTGCATTGCTCGTATTCGACTCTCTAGCCAGTTAGTTGGGACGCATCGGTATTTTGGCATAACCATCCAAATATACTATTCCATCCGACTACGCTATCGTGTTCTACCTTGGTCTCGTATTCGTGGGTATATAACAAGTTCGAATAATTAGTGATTGGTCTTTGCGTCTGTCAAGTTCGCACTCCAGACAAATCCTAAAAAATGTGACTGTCTTATCTATTTACGTTCCGTAATTCACACCTCTCTTCAAACGTCTACTGATTAATTCTTCCAATATCGTAGGACTTGAGTAAAATAGACTATAGATTTAAAACGCACAGTAACTACTCTCGTGTCTAATCGGTTTAAAACCTTTCAGTGGGAAGAAAAGGAAGAACAACTCTTCATTCAGTAACCGTTTTATATTTAGAATAACAAATGAAGTTTATGTGCACACTCGGATGCTTTGCATGCTTAGAGTCACACTTACTATTACAGTCAAACACTAGATTCTCTTTCAATCACTAATTTTTGTCCAATCAACAAAGATGGGAAAGAAAGCACTGTGTAACTTCAACAGATATCTGGGAACGACATGTTTGAAAGTCAAATACTAGACCGCTTCAACCATCAATAAGGTCACAGACTTAGATAAAGTCTTGATTTGCGGCCAACTAAAAAACCACTCTTAATCGAGGTTGTTCAGCAAACCTTCAAATTTCGCTATCAGTGAGAAGACTGTGTAGCCTGTTTGTAAGTGCATGTTTTACCGAATATTAGGATTTATAGACTAAGCCCCGATCGTATTTGACCTTTCTTTTATTCATCACTAGCTAAAATTTACTTACTGCAAATATTTTTCAGATTTGCATTACCACCAGTATTTCCAGTCGTCATCGGATGAGGAGCATGAAAGTCGTAAGTAAAACAAAACTGACTCTGGAAACTTTTACGCAGAGGAAGATAAAAAATAGTTAAATGCAATTCTGAATATTCCATGCACGAATCTTCGTGTGTGTAACAGAAAAAACTAAAAATTCTTCATAATGAAAACAAAACAAACCAGTAGTATAATAAAACACAAGTTAACATGGACAACTGCAGAAATATGTACTATTTAGGGATTTCATAGTTCACATTAGCATACTTAAAGGAACTAAAATTCATGACATTACGATAAATAATAAGGTCATGAGAAAGAATAACTAAGTTAACTAGCGTCAATGAAATGCCAAAAGGATCAAAGTAAGAAAAAGCACACCTTAAACAATGTGACTGATTTTCAATCGTATCATTTAGGATTCACAAACAATAATTCTTAACATCGTCAGGTAGTCAGAACTTCATTATATGACTCATATCAACAGTAAGAGACTTTACAGAGTGACGACATATCAAAATACTATCACTTATAGCTTTCTTTCAAACAACATTACTGTTTGAGGCATTAATACCGCAGTCCTTAAATATCCGTAAATCTAGTACTTTTGCATAAAACACTGACCAACAAACAACTACACTGGACAAAAAAGGTAATCTGCAGATTTCAATCAGCAATGCAAAATGATGCGATAAGAAGGGATTCCGACTATACCTAGTACATAAATTAAAACTGCTCAAGCAGGATACTATTTGCCGTAGTAATTCTGAAGGTTAGCTTACTGGTGAGCTACGAATAGACAGATGTATTGAGAAAACGATTCAACATCTTTTTAGGCACAGTTAAACCTCCTATTAGCGATGTTGACAAGAAAGTAAGAGTAGCCATTATATTGTAATTTCGGACCAAAATAGTAAACCAGTAATATAACCATTAAAAACAAAACAATGTTTAAATATTTAGAATGGATAACCCACAGGTTACCGATAGCTGCTACCATGATGTGGTAGTCGAGCCTGCCAAAGAATCTTCTGGAATATGCAATATATAGTAAAATTACAAAGAAGGATTTCATCTCAATGAGTTACGTCATAGTGGTATGATTCCTTGTTATTTTTATTTCATGGTTATAGGATATGTTTCATTACTAAAAAGAGCTACAAAATGGAACATAATTTCCGTTGAAAGTAAATATAAACCTAATGAGTTGCTCATTAGTCAGTAAGTGCTGCCCTGAGGATCTTTCGGTGGTGTCCGAAAATTTAACATGTTCTCATGAAATGACTACTATCTTTGATATTTCTAATTCAACCTTGCCCTAAAACTGGGAAATAAATGTCATCCAATTTTAAAGGAGGTAAATAAAACTAAGCTATACTTAAATTTGATCATAGCGTTTGTAAATTATTTTTAGAAGTTGAATTATTTGTGAATTGGTTAGTGACAAGCATATTTGCGGTTGACTCAGTTACCCGTTCGCATTTGACGAAAGTATGCAATGGGATGCAAGTGGATATTAGTTCCATAAAATTTGCGCTATGTTGGCACCAGCATGTATAAGCAGTGCTATAGACCAGTTTCTTTCTGGTTGCACAAGTTTTTCTATAAGCCTCTGTAGTCTGTAATTCAGGGAGCCGTCAAAACGGTATTCACCAAAAAACATGTTGGTAGGAATGATAACTTTCAGACCAGTTCAGAGTCAGATAATGACGCAGTAAGTCTTATTGGAGATACAACCAACGCTGAATTTCTCCAATTTGATGAGAGAAGCTCTTACACCGATTTCTGCGTATAACTTACGTGAAAGGAAACCAACAGTAACTAGCATACCAACTATGATGGCTGCTGACTTGCTAAACAACTGTCTCTGTAAACGACGCAGGCGTTACATAGATAAAAAACAAATTCGTTTGGATTTCTTCATGACGGAATTCGAAGAATCCTTCAAAGATTCTCACTGAAACTACTCAGGTTACGGAAGTCGTTGAGAAGGCTTCGAAGGCCGTCAACACGAAATCCACTGACATCTCATCACCGTCTAGTGGAATGTTTTGTAATACTGAAGAATCGGTGGGTGTAGATCCTCCATTACATCATGTATATAACTTGAAGGCAGTCGAGTAAGCCACGAGAAATCCTATTTGAAACATCTCTTGGAGTACGGATATCCAAAGTAATTGGGTTAAGGGAAGAAAGGCTAAGTAGTCAATGAGCAGGGGATTTTAAAGGTTGCTATAGGTAGCAAAGAAGAAATGAATGTACTCTTGCACAACACATCTAAACTATGAAGTTCTAATATCCACATTCGAACAAACTACCCTCTTGAAGACCAGGCAGAAAGAAAAGAAGTAATCGCTGAACCTAAAGTTCAACAACAAAGCAGAGAGGATAATCTTAGACTTGTGGGTTTCCAGATTATGACGTCTTGAAAATGAATGCTTCCAAAGTCTGCATTGGTGGATCTCTCCAAACATCTTGAACCTAATCTATGTCAATGTTCACTGCTCTAGAAATAAAATTACCAGCATGTACTAGATTTTGATATAGTGGCTGTCACTAAAATCTGCCGATAAAGGATTTAGACTTTATCCTACTACTCTCAGGGTATCGCCATGCTAGGACGGATGGAGTTGTGGGTCATAAGAATGGCAGCATACTACTCTATGTTTCTCCTAACCTCCACATACCATTAGTCACTTCAAAAGCATCAGAATGCAGTATCTGAGAAGTGGCTAGTTATCAGCTAAGATGAAAGCAAGGCGCCTTTACTACTGAGGTGACTTACTGTATTTCATCTTGCTTTGCAAATGACATTATACTAACCCATACATGTGACTGAAGTAGAAAAAACAGTTGCTTGATAGTCGGAGACTTGAATGCTCCACATATTGATTGAACAGAGATTATAGTTTTAGTCTCAGGCAGCTGCTTCGAAACGAAATACTTTTGATGGCAGTAGAATCTGTTTAATCCCAAAATGGAACCTGTGCAACACGTTACGACATAGAATCCAAGTCATCTTTATTGGATTTGGTTTCAAATAACCAGTTTTGGGGTGATATAGGTTTACGGCACTTCTCACCGTTAGCAAGTAGCAATCATGTGGTGTTTAAGTTTGGTTTTCGAACGTACAGGTTTGATAATGATGCTATTCCCTTAGACCTGATGTGTGGCGCACAGACATTTTGAGTATTAGGAACTGCACAGTTTGTACAGATTTAGTTGTCAATAAGGACTCACTAGTCGAGAACGGCTGGAATAGGTTTAAAACTATCTTTGGAGTAGCAACAACGCCATTTACTCCATGGTTGACCCCACAAAGACATTCAAATCACCTCCTTTGCGGTTTGACAGGAATACTGAAAACTATTGAAGTAGAAAAAATGTTTATGAAACTTGCTCTTGGAAACTGGATTGGAAACATTTAAAACTAAGTACTGTAGAGTCCACAATCTATGCAAATCTTTAATCACAGGGTCTTAAATGTCATACGAAAAAGAGCTTGTAAGTGCGATTCCATGTTAGATTTGTTCATTTGATCCATAACACACAGTGATACAGTACTCTTTACTCGTAAATTTGCTTGTAAATGGTTCCCGAGATTGTCATAAAAACTATTCTCATCCATTAGAAGGAGGAATAAAGGAAGATGTGGAATTCCCTCTCAAGCAACAGTTGAGGTGTTAAATGACTTGATGGAATACAATCTGTCCACAGCTGAGTGCTTATCGGAATACTTTAGTGAAGTTTTCTCGGTAGGTCAAGGTAGTAAAGTGCTGTGCGGTAGTATCGCCACTTCCCCACCAATGCGTTCATTTCACTTAGAAAAACCATTTCTCAGTTGTTTATTAATCTTAAACTAGGAAAATCCCTGAGTCCCAATGTTTTGCACCACAGATTGTTTTCCTCGTGATGAGACACTGTTGCAGAGCTATTGGTCTTTTCGATCTGTCCTTATCTCTGCTGCCATAGAAACTGGAAATATACCATAATCAGCTCAGTTTTTAAGACTGGTAGTTGTCAGTTAGTAGTTAACTACCGCCCCATGAGTCTGACTAGTATGGTAATTAGGGCTCTGGAAAAGATAATTTGTGATGATATGCCCGACCATGTTGAATCAAATAATCTTACTGCACCACCGCAACACAGTTTTTGAACTAGAAACTCATGTTAAAAAGCCTTCTCGTCGTAAAAAAAAATGAGTTGCAGCCTGTGATAGTAAACCGCTAGTAGACGCCTTGTTTATAGACTTCAGAGAAGCTTTAAATAAGGTGTTTCAAGTGAATAATTACCGGAATAAAACTTTAACACTGTGGTAGATTGTAGTTCCATTCTCTGTGGGTTTAATAGTGTTTTACTGTGTCACAATTCTAATAAACAGAATAAAATGTCTCAAATAAAATAACTAGGAACACTACCTCCTTCTGCCTACGTTGCAACGCATAAAACATGGATTAGGGAGTTTCTGTATGATAGTCGGCCCAAGAAGTAGCTAATAATTTGACGTGAAGGTAGGGTTTACATATTAGAGAGACCCAAAGAAGTATACTGGTAGTAAGCTTGTACTTTCAATGTCTTACCATGCCACAAAGTTCTGCTGAGTAGCAGTACGACAAAAAGCAGTTACCGTTGTAGTAAAAACTGAGACACAATGATGGAGTCTGAGGGAGAAGTCGCATTGCTGATTGGACAGCGGTGTGACACTAGTAAGCTATTTCTCTTGGAGGACAACAGGACCACGCTGATACTGCCTTCCTTCTGGCAAAGGAGTTAGAAAACGTTGACCACAAACATAACACACTATCAACCACTCGCGGTATACCGATATCTGCAACACGGATTCAAAGTTGAATTCGAAAGTAAAAAACCGAAATCTCAAACTTACCAAAACGCCGTGCTTTCCTGGTCTCAAGCAGATGTAGAATAGGCTCTGTGGTCACACAAATCGTCTTCTCTTCCAGACACCCCAAGAAGAAATAGCCTACCGCGGTGCGCACTGCCCGGAAGTATCAACCGTCTGAACGCTTCCAGTAGTACACAAAATCCAATCAAGCATAACCTAACACCATCAACTCACTCTCCTCCTTTGTCTTCACCTCCTGATATTGATATCAAGCCTCTTACACTTTCCACAACCTCACACTCTCAGATCATTGTCAATGATCAAAGCCATTGAAACCTCATCCCTAGTCTCCTAAGATCTAGCCATAGCTTTCGCGTAGGAGCCTTCAACCTACAAACTCTATGCCTAATCGGACAGCAGGCGTCGCTCTCCACAACTCTGGAATCTCCACCCACAAATGTATCCTGTGTCTCTGAGGCACGTATAAAAGGCAGGAATGTGGTCAGTAAATTGACGTCATTTAGCTAGTGTGATGAGTCTTCAAAATTCACCTCACGGGTATCTGCAGAACCATTGGCTAGCTCTCATGGACTCGCTGGTGTAAGCATAACACTGGGTTGTAGAACAAAATCTACGTTCATCGACTAGATGTCACTCAACAGCCATCCGTGTGCTATTCCAATCAATTCGTCTGTAAGAACTAGAAAGCATCGTGAGACAAGGCGATCCTCAATCGAAATACCCACCTACACACCCACTTACTGTAGTTCGGATGAGGCAGAGGATGAATTCTATGAGAAACTGTCAATTTCGCTATAGTAAGCGGAACTTTCTGATGTAGTGATGATGGTAGGTGACTTTAACGCTCAAGTAGGGATGCTGATCTGGGCCGATCTGAAAGACACCTGGGGTGTAAACGTGGATGCTCGTGCCAACCAACCCACATCGCTGGTTGTCTCTTTCAATTTCGTCCCAACAATCACCTATGTCTGACCAACACCAAATCTAAACATAAGAAGAATCATAGTCTCATATAGCGTCAGCCAACTTCAAATCAACAATTGATACAGATAGGTAGCACTGCTATAAGCCATCGTTCGACAGGATCAGTGAAGGATTACCACTCTTTCTGAAGTACCGGTTTCAACTCCGATAACGCGTTAGCGTAGGCTTATGTATGCCTGCATCTTACTTGTCATAGGAAATAGGAGACGACAAAGCCTGTCCATGCTAGATTGGAAAAGAAGGACTCCAAATACTTATTTAGAGAAGAGTTAGCTATACAGTAATCTCAACGTGACGCCAATGCTGTCTTTTAGCAAAATGAAGAGCGAAAGAAACTGAAACAAATATTTGACTGGTGTCTTCACGTGGTTTGCCAAGAGTGGTTGGTGGGGAGAGTAAGCGAAACTGAGAAGGCGTCAGAGTTCGCTAACATTCAACTATTTTACTTTAATAAGGATAGGCGCAAGCAGAAGACGACAGTTATTGAAACCATCACCGAAAAATAAGGTACTCTGATAACATTCTAGGACAGTTGGCTGGAATGTTTTCAGAATGCTTTGAAGTACAGTTCATCTAGTCCATAGGCATGCATCAGTTGCCTAACATTCCGACTTGAAGCTGAATGGGATGTGGATGTCGGTCCTGCAGCTCTCCTTGAAGTTGAGTAGGCTGTATCAAATTTGAAACAGTGTAAAGCAAGAGGACCTGACGGTTTGCCACCTGACGTTTTCAAGGATGGAGATGAGAAACTGCTGAATACTGTTGCAGAGTGATGCTGATTGGTATGTTTCTTAAGCAAATTTGGTTGAACTGGTAGATTGGTCCAAACGCTGGTGCCTGGAAGCTGATTTTAGTGTAGTAACTGTAGTAATTCAAAAGATCATTGGAATTGTTCCCAGTATTACTTTGATAGTGCACCACTACTTCAAGCAGCCGAACTAAGAGACTTAGGGACCATCAGATGCTATGATCTGAAACATTTCACACAGTGATGTAGCTGCAGAGAAAATATTCTATATACTACTGTCCATCCACAGAGATTTAAAAAGTTTTGACCAAGATATATTCAGGATACTCACTCCCACATATGTTTGACCTCACTTAGGATACTGTATCCAGGCAGCCAATCCACACCTAAAAATGGATGCTAGTGTATATTTTAAGGATATTTGCCAATTTTTTAGTCAGCCTTATTTATTTGTTCTATGAGGAACGATTAGACTGATTAAATTTATTCCCACTGTCTTGCTGCACAAAAACTGGTGATTTCACACTGGGATCCCGTACCCGTAATCATAACTCCGAAGCTGTCATATTCTGTATTTTTTTATCTGACTAGAATTTAGGACTACTAATGCGTTCAGAATAAAATTTAGAACCGCGAATAATTCAACTTGGCGTGGAAATTTGTTCCTCCCATCGCATGTCCAAGTACCGAAACTTCTACCCACAAAAAGTAGTATTAGCTTCTTCGAACAGTGCACTCAAAATTAAAATAAGATATCTAGTTCATACATTAACACAAAACTACCGACCTACTATTCAAATTATGGAATACTGGATGAGAAATGTCAAATATAAGTTACGGTTAATGACAAATAAAAGATACAGCACTTACATTTTTACTCTCTGTGTCATGTTTTCTACGGCAAAAAACATTATATTTAGCAAAATAACTTCTCACTTTTGGTCCACAGACTGTAAGCAATTAGAATTTACGTTCTGATGTGATTTGCTGCCCACCGAAAGCCTATGCAAGCCTCCTCTCTGTGCCAAATTAGTGTAGCCGGAGGAAGCTTGCTTCTCTTTTAACATCATCTGAGCCATAATTTCTATTGAGAAACCGATCAAAATAAATACATAGAGCATACTCTCACAAAGTGCAATGTTCTCTATTAATGTTCTTTGTTTCCCAGAGGGGTGTTTGATATCTAAACATAGAAATTAGACCGACATGTGACTTTTACTCATATTACGCTTTACTTCCATATTTGTCAATTTGAAAGAGCAGTAACTGAAAAGTATGATTAAAAGCCGCTTTAACCTTCAGAGTACCGATTCAAACAACCCAGTTTTCTCATGAGTAGCGTCTACAGCATCAACCATTAGGCATCAATACGAAGAAAATAAGAGATCAAGTAAATCTATTTATCAACTTCAGCAGTATTTCATAACATGTAAATGACTAGGAGGGTGGGTATTCTTCGAGACAATGTTAGTTTCTAAATTTCGACTTGCATCAGACTGTTCTCCAAGGGTACCTTATTTTGTTTACACTGACCCATTAGTATAGTAGTCTAGTTATGCGGAGACCTTCGCGAAGCTTTAAAAAGTGTTCTAACAAGTTTTAATATCTAATCTTGGACGCGCATGCTGTTCGAAATGGGGAGTGACTCACGTTCAGCTAGATTCTTGGCATTTTTTGTGTTCACACATCAAAGGCTGTTTTGTTTTTGCTCTAATCGGAATATTATTCGATCAAAGTGAGACAAGAACTTTTACTGCGTGAATTTCTCTAGTTTCTGCTACATGATGAGCCAAAAGTTTCGTAAAATGCTTGTGGTAGGGTCGGGAACCATTTCGCAGTGGCCTCTGGAATGCAGTGTAGAGAATGTAAGAGTTGGTTCCACGACAACTGTACAAGCCTCACACCCTCAGCATATAAAAAGTACAGCAACACAGGAAGTGTCTGTCTTTGCAGATTGTGCCGCTCGGATATTCGAACTCTGGCAGAAGAAGCAAAAACACCTCTAAATACGATAACTAAGGAACTATCGTCAAAAGTCAATAACTGTGATAGTTATAGCCATGCAGCATCCATCGACACAGACTGCTGTGCAAAATTTTAAGAACGTCCCACGGCAAGCTGTAAGTCGGACGTGTAGACTACCTACTAGGTTTGCTGACAGCGACTTAGAAAAAACCACACTAAGAAGAGTGACATCATCATCATCATTATCAACATAGGACCAGGCATTACTGCGTAACGGTCCGAGTTGCCACACCTCATATCAGCACATCAAGTAAAAAGGTAGTGAGGTGAAGGATGAAGACAAGAGAATGCAGTCAAAAGAAATATAAAGTACGAGAAGAAAGGAAAAAGGAGTGACAAAATAGTGAGATTCGGTATAGCGTTGTTAAGATGAGGATAATGTGTGTATACATCTGCGCCACTGACTTCGGTTCTGAGCCATATCACCTAGGGTCTCCAACCACTGGTTCCTCTTGTCCCGTGGACCCCAACCACCTAGTCTGCATCGTCCTACATGGCTTAAACCAACAGTCAGAGACTTCATACATTGGTGCCATGTTTTAGTCTGGCCACCTCGGGCCTTTTTCCAGCCTGAACCCACCTCAGCCAACATTGTGTGACGAGGCAATCGGTGACTAGGCATACGTAGTACGTGTCCCAACCATCTCAGTCGATGAAGGTTCACAACCTCGTCGACTGACTTACCTCTTCTCCCTAAAACTCTACACCTAACTTCTGCATTACTCACATGGTGACACCACGGAATACGTCCTATACTACGAAGGCAACGGTGGTCAAATACCTGTAACCTTCTCATGTCTTCCACTTTCAATGGCCATGTTTCACAGCCATACAGTAGAACAGACCGGACTGCTGTGCAGTACACGCGACCCTTAATAGACAAACGAATATCACGGCGGCGCCATAGGTGGCGCAAATTGGCAAAAGCCAATCGAGCCTTTTGTATCCGTGCAGAAATCTCATCGGCAACTAACCCACCGGAGTTGATCCTACTTCCCAGGTAAGTGAAGTGGTCAACACACTCAACCACTTCACTCTCTATTGTTAACCGCGGTACCGCTGAAGACCAGTCCTGGAGCAAAAATTTGCATTTGGGTGGTGAAAATCGCATCCCAAACATTCTCAAATTCTCACTCAAAGTCTTCAGAAGACTCAGACCCCCATCATAGTGTAGCAATTTACACTATAACGGTAACTGCTTTTCGTCTAACCACTACCCAACAGACCTTTCTGGTATGGTAGGACCTCGAGGGAACAAGCGTTCCACCAGCATAGCTCGTTGGGTCATTGTGATATGCAAGCCCGACCACCACGTCAAGGTAGCAGCTATCGGTCGGGCTAAGAAGAGTGAAGCGAGTATTTTCTGGTTTTCGCATCCCTAGAGCTGGTAGACGTAGTCTGAAAACTGTTGACCGTAAGACTAGGTCTACTTCAGATGAAAGAAACAGGAGTGAAGCACTCTCAGGGCCCACTACGGAACCATGCAGGCCACAGGTCATACCCAGTTCGGCGACTCAATCATTGACAAGAACTAAACAGAATGGGATGCATGTCTGTTCTGAGGCTGTCAGCGTCAAGGCCACTGAACTAGGCTTCAGTAAACCTTGCATACCCGACACACTACACGGCATGCTAAGAAGCCAATAACGGTCATCGAACCAGCTATCATCGCTCCACAATGGTAAAGACAAAGTAGAGATCCTTGACAGGTTGTGGAAGAAAGTAGAGACCCAGAACCACGTTTCGAATATGACCTTGGCAAAGTACAAAGTTTGGTAAATCAGCTTTTACCGGAAAATATGCCAGGAGTCACCTTACTCAAAATATATAAATTAGGCAAACAGGAGACAGTCATTACTAATAACAAGTTTCGGCTACTTAAAGTCGTGTTCAAGTCAACAGATGAGAGGGGTCAGATTCTGAAGGGTGCCTACAAACTTCAAGAATCTGGAGTGCGAAAGGATCTGGCTCTTGCTGATCGAATCAAAAAACGACAAGCAGAAGCAGAACTAAAATCCAGATAAGCAGCAGGAGAACAAGGTCTCAATGGAGTGGGTTTTCGTGCAGTGTGGTTTCGACAACGAATGATCCCGAAGCCTCTACAGATAGGATGGAAACTCTTTTAAGTAGTTTCATCGCCTTTTACACAAATGCCCGCAGTCTCTGAAACAAGTGGACTGAGCTTAGTAATATGATAAGCAACGAAAGTCCTCACATCATTACCATCTCAGAAACTTGGCTCTCTTCTTGGATCAGTGACTGTGAAACACACGAGGATTCCTCACTTTTAGAAGTGACACGTTAGCATGCAAAGGTTGTGTTGTCATCCTTTACGTTAAGAACACCTTAACTGTAAAAGCCATAGAAAGTTGCACATGAAAGTGGGACATGTAAAGTGCTGCGCTGATGACCAAAATGCAAGGAAAAGATGTTAACGTAATCGTAGCTTATCAAAGCCCTGAATGCAAGACAGCAGACTTCCTCCTGAACAAGGTGACCCTGTGGAAAGATAAATGGCGATTTATGGTTCTAGGAGACTTCAGCGCGCCACCAGTTGACTGGGATAGACTGACAACAGGTTGGTGGAAACATCAATCTTCTTAGCCCTCATACAGCACATTAGGACAGCGACCAGGTATGATAACCACCATGCTCCATCAGTTCTAGACATAGAATCCCCACACACGTGATGTATGCTTCATCCGGTACTTTGAACCTCTCTGTAAAAATGATCATGCTGTGATCATCTTCAGATTGATACCAGACCCCTTGTACTAAGACGATGCCTCAACTAGACCCGACATATGGGAAGCGAATATGGGAGCGATTGACCTGACAGCCTCTTCGGAGGACTGGACAGTCAATCCAGAAGCCTCAGTTGTATGCATGAGTGACTCAGCCGTTAATTATATGGACTGTCTCGAGGGGACGGAAACACTGTCCTGCACGCATAGGTAACGAAATCTGAATCTTGCTACGACGTAAGAAGAAGTGTTGGAGTCTTGCCACCCACCTCACTACTCACAAGGTGAAGAAGCACTACAAAGTAGCCCGAAACAAGTGTATCGCTGCTATCCACCAGTCCCGAATATGCCTTGAAACGCCTCTTGTCATGACTGCATCGCAACATCCGCAGAGTCTAGTTTCCCGCACGAACTATAGAAATAAGATGTATCGTGGTATACCCACACGAATCTGTGGGACAGAAACTGACTGTTTGATGGAAGACGATAAGATAAAAGCAGAAGCTTTGGCTGGATATCTCACTGAGATCTTCACACAGGAATCTTCTGAAGACATTTATCCAATAGTAGAAGCATGGACATCGGGTAGAAAAACACTGTGGACATCGATGGCAGTGAAGTATTTCTGACATTAAGTACTCTCGCTGTAGAAAAATCAACGGGATCAGATGAGCTGCACCCAAGGCTACTCAGACAGCTTGCACTCTATGTAGCCGGCCCATTGACTACCATATTTAGGTTGTCCCTCAGTCAAGGCGTTCGACAAGCTACCTCATTTCAGGTTATTCGGGAAACTGGAAAGTTTTGGAGCCACTGGCAGTCTGCTTGCATGGATAAGATAATTCCTCGTTGGTAGGAGATAAAGGGTGAGGATCAATTATTGATTCTCCTCTTGGAAGTCGATGGACAGTGGATTGCCACAAAGCATAGTCCTGGGTCCCATGTTGTGTCACTTATACGTAAATGAGCTGCCAAATATCACGAAATCCCCTATGGTTCTCTACACTCATGATGTAAAAATCTCGCGTGGAATTGGGAACGACGAGGACACACGTGCACTTCAATCAGACACAAACAGCTTGTTTACCTGGCCAAAGAAGTGGCTGATACCCATCAGTATGGGCTAATGTATGAGCATACACTTGGAGCACCCACATGGCAACACCTACAATATCGATGGGACTCCTCTACCATCAGTACTGACCCACAATGACCTGGGAGTAACAGTGAGTTATGACTTGAAACCACAGCTCACTGTCAACTGGCACAGCTCAGAGCCTCAGGACACTTTGGGCATCACGTGTAACGTTTACGAAAGTAAGGGGTGACATGTTCACCATGTTATACACATCCTTGGTTAGGTCCAAATTAGAAGACTGTGCACAGGCGGCTAATCCCTATCTGAAGGATGACTCAGACCTCCTAGAAAGAGTTCAGAGGGCAGCCACTCGTACGGTCCCTGGGATGGCTGG